GGGGGGGGGTGCTGAGCTTGGGTCTCTGTCTGGGGATTCCTCTCCCGGAAAATTTTGAATAAAATAGATGTCATTTCCTGCATTCTGGTGTATTTCAACAGGTTGTTAAACATCTACTTTTACCTACATTTGTAAACACCTGATTCAATAATTATTTTAGAGAGCGTCAAGAAGTAGCCTGACCAACAGCTCTCCTTGTGTGAATAGAGCACGCTCTGCTTCTCTCAAGGATCCTCGCACCTGCTCCAGTATCTCCATTGCCACTGCCTTCATGTGCTTCAATTCTTGGCTATTTAGTTGTACAATGAGAAGACTCTTTTTTTTTTTTAATGAAAGTAAATTGAACTGTCTTTTCGACATTTTGATCGCTGTGATTTTGACAAATTGGTGCCATTGTTTTGAGACGTGAGGTGATTACCCATCAAACATTTCTCTCTTATTTTAATAAAAAATCTAAATTTTATTAATGACCCACTTAAACTGTAAAACTGGTTTGCAGTTTAGTTGTGTTGTTTAATTATATTTTGTGTTTTTAGTTCAATTGCCCATGACTGTTCTTTTAGGAGGGGATATTTTTTAAGGGTATATGCAGAAATGCTTATTTGAAGGAGCATGTCTTATGTAATATTAGGAAGTTCGTAAGTGGCTTTTATGTTTAAAATGAGTGTTTATGTAATTATTTTCAACTTACATATCCAGTATAGGTTTTATTCGTTCATGGCAGTCAGATCTGTTCATAACTTTTATTATTAATAAACCTGAGAGTTACCGGATCCGAGCAAACCGTTACCGGAGCACACCCTGTCAAAATAAGAGAGTTCCCAGAGCCTGTTCCTGCAGGATCTGGCTCAAATTAAACCCTGATCCCAGAATGATATGGAAAGTAGCTTCGCTAACACGCAGGGACGATAGCAAAAAATGTAGAACTTTTATGCTCCAAATCATTGTTTGTTGTTGGTACTGCTTCAAAACATTCTGTAGGATTATATTTTGTACATTCATTTCAAGGGACCCATAAAAAAAACTATTTATTCATCACTTTTAAAAAATATATATCTCAAAATTTTCAACCAGTATATATAGCTGTCTATAATTCAACATACCACTTTGTGATTTAATCCTTTGTTTAATGTGATGTGTTATAAATATGCTCATTTATGTGTTAACAGTGTCACACCTAATCATTATTACCACTATAATCTGAGTCATAGATAAAGACTTGGGGGAAAAAAAATCCTTGTTTTGGGTTTTAAATTGATTTCCTGTTAAAATTCAATTTATTTAAACTCAAATTATGTCTACCCAACATGTATATAAAATTAAACCAATAGCTTTTAACCCTTTCCGACTTGATGTTACTTCTTGAATTGGTCAGCTGAAGAAAAAAATGCATTTAAAGTTCCATGTCTTCATGCAGAATGTAGTGTTTTCCAATTCTAAATGTTATTTCTTTCCTTCTTATTGGTTGTGTTTTTGTCCTTCACAGGCATCACCAGGTTTGATCTTTTGGGAGACTTTGGGAGATTCAACTGGCTGGGAAACTTTTACATTGTTCTTTCATACAACCTGCTTTTTGCCATTGTGACAACTCTTTGTCTTGTGAGAAAGTTCACCTCAGCAGTGCGAGAAGAGCTTCTTAAGGCCTTAGGTAAATCTCTCTGTTATTCTCCATTGGTTTGTAATAATTAAATTTTACCACCAGTCATAGAGCGAGACCTTCTAAATGTCTGCTTTGGAATATTTCAGTTTGAGCCTAATTTTGTTTATGCAAAGGTTTAGCTTTAAAGACTGATAACTCCAAACTGCTTGGAAAGAGATTTTTTTTTCTACTCTCAGATAGTGAGATGTTGGGTGACAAAATTTTGGGGAATTGCATTATGATTCATGGTGCTGCAGAAATGTGACTCAGGACTGGGCTGTTCTTAAAAGACTTTGTGTGACAGGCTCTAGATGTTTGATACACAGAGTGGGATTGGGTTAGAAGACGACAGACAGGCACTGAAGGGAGAAAACGACATCAATACCCCTGTTCAAATGAAAGTCTGAGGCTTTTAATGAGATTTTTTGTGTTATCTCTCACTGCCTAGGTCTGGATAAATTGCAACTGTCAAACAGCCCCACAGACCCCGAATCTGGAAAGCTTTCGGCCAACGGGCATCAAAAAACTCTGTAAAAAGGACAATGGATTCAGACACATTCACATTTGCAGAGCCAAAGGGAGATTTCGGCAGTACTGCCTGACTGCAGAAAGGTGAAACGGATAGGAAGGAACTTAATAAATCCAGCCGGTGACTGTCTGTTGCTGCAAATGGAGGCTGAGAGCAATTTAGCTTCGTGACATTCCATCCTCTGCATCTCGGATGGAAGCTGGGACCGAGCCAGGGCTGAGACAGAGGAGTGAAATAGACTGGCATCACTGCAGTGACCTTGATGCTAAACTCAACCACGACTGTGACTTCAAATTACACATCCCTTGCTTCAGGGGCATTCCAACCCCACCATCGTCACCTGGTTTTCTTCTTCAGTCGTTATACTATTGCACTAAATATAGTCTTGAATTAGGCTCCATGCTGAGTCGTTTAAAACACAGCCCACCAATTTCATTTAAAATTTCTTTAAATGTTATTTTTGTTTGTGTCTGTGAAAGTAGCTTAAAATCAGTAGTCTGTAATTGTTTTTCTGACTGTTAAAATGAATTGATGCAGGCATTATGGGGTGTCAGATTGTCATTTTGCAATGAGAAAATAACAAAAATGTGCTTTGTGAAGCATGGGAATTTGTCTTTTATTCACACGTTTTACAGCCAGTGAAGACGGATGCACAATCTCATTGCAGTTTACATCATATGCATTGTTACTGTCAATCTGAATGACAGGCCTCACATTTCAGCACTCCTGCTGTCATTTGTCTTTTTTATCTAGCTTTATGCAAGCGTTCTTTAACTTTATTGATGATGTCATTAGTTTGTGTGAAGAAGGATCATTTTTAGAGGCTCTAAATTTGACTTAAGCTACTCTACAAAGAAAAACGGGGATTTTTTAAATACAACTTAGTCCCTCTGATTAAATTTTTTAGTGCTTTTAAAGGAATTTTAAGTTGTAATTTTATTAAAGTTTACTTATTTCACACAAAATATTAAAGGCACAGATTTGTTAGTTTGTAGATGTATTTACATGTGCATAACGTTCCCTCCGTGTCACATGGTTGTAACTGTCTTTGAGGAACTTGCTCACTAAGGATGTACGCTTTATCCTCAGCCTCAAAGTGAAAGACCATGAGTGCATGAATTTTGAGCATTCCCTCCAAAACGTTTGGGATAAAGGTTAGTTTGAACACAAATTGGTTCGAAGTCATCAGAAGGCAAGATTTGCTGAAAATGTGTGGAAAAGAAATAACTGAGTCGCGTGTAAAAACCGATTTAGTGACAGTTTCCACTAAAAAAAAACACTCATTGTCTGCTATGACTTGTCATTTTTAAAGCGGAACAAATTTGCTAAATCGGTAATGGTATCAATCAGGACATTCTTTCACCTGTTCCTAAAAGAGCCCCCAAGAGGCAGCAACGTCACAATGTGTAGTTCCTTCAATTCCCCCCTCCCCAGCACACCTTTTACACATATTGCATAACAAAAAGGTCAGATTTGTTGCAGAGAGACGGCGTGGTGACTCAGGCCCCTTTCGCGTTTGTGCATTCTAGACTGTGATTTTGATTCGGTTTTGTTTCAGAACCACCTTTGATGCCTTATGCAACGAGCATCTCGTAGGTTTTAATGTTAAAGTTCTTTGTGTAGTTTCCACTGTGATCTTGTCTGAATTCTTTATTTTAAAAATAGTTGGATGGCACTTTTCTCTTAATCAACATTGTCATCAAAGTGGCTCCATTTTGAAACTTTTTGAAAAAAATCTGCACTTGCTAGCATTTACTTGAGTGTGTATTGTTTTGTTTTTTTTACTTGTTTTAAATAGAATTATAAATATATTTTTCATATTACCAATGTAGACTTAAATTCTTACATGCGTTGGAGTTTATTATTTGAGGCTATTTTACAACAAAACGTTGCAATTTTTACATTATAAGAATAAATGTCAAATATGCGCATAAAATCAAAAGCAAGGTAATATGGCTGACTATATGAAAGATGCCAAGTTATAACAAATCAACCTAAATTATATTTTTGATCAACTTTTTGCAGTTTTATGGATTGGCTTTAGGTTCACACTGAGTTATGGAGACTGTGAAATAAAAACACATAGTGATGTAGTAAATACAAAAAGAGTCCTACTGTACCTTTGCTAAGGGAGACCATTAAAAAAGTATGGTTTAATTTCGTAGTATGAATAAATTTATTCTAAACTAGCCTGTCAATAGCAAGAGTAGTTGTACATACTTTGAGTTTAAAAAGATAGAAGGTAAAACGTTACATGTGAACAGTCGACTCGGCAGGTTTCTTCTGGTTGAAGTTGCAGTACGTATCTTGTGTGAATGTGTTTCAAAATATTCGTTGCTCCGAACCGTGAGAGCAGCTTCTATGTACTTCTGTTTGTATATCTGTCAATCTGCATGTATTTTTCATACATGGTTTATGAATGAACGTTTATTTTTTTTACATTTTCTCTGTTTGATAAATGTTTTTTTTTTTCCTTGTTATTTTGATGTTCTTCTGTTTGGGAATTAAAAAAAAATGCTTCAAGAGTTTTAAATTACTGTGACATTTTGGATGTTAGTCGATGCTGTAAGGCAGGGCTATTCAACTGGCGGCCCACGGGCCAGTTCCGGCCCACGGGCCAGTTCCGGCCCACGGGTGACTTCAATCTGGCCCACCAATGACTGCATTAAAATAATAATAATGAATTGGGGTGGGGTTGTTATGAGTTTGGGGTTCTGTTTATTGCATTTATTATTCAATGCAATAAAAAACTAATTTAAAAGGTAACATCATTGTAAAACTTGGTTTATTTACATAATGACTTTAATTGCTGGATGTTTGGCCCCTGAGCTGCTGGCTTTCAGAAACTGTGGCCCCCTGAGCAGTTTAGTTGAATAGCCCTGCTGTAAGGCCTGACGTGAACTTAAAGAAAAGTGGAGACCTCTGGGGTGCAAATTGCATTTTTTAAACATTTACTTAAAAAAAAAAAAAATATATATATATACATATATATATATATATACATATATATATATACATATATATATATATATATATATATATATATATATATATATATATATACACACACACACACACAGTTCTACAACTTACAAAGTCAAAGCTTCTTTATAGTCCGCATCACGTGTGGTGGAACAAAATTGTGTACACAGAGTCCCAGTTACATCCAATAAAAGTATAAACTGTAAAAGAAAAAACAGTAATAAGATCCAAAAAAGTTCAATCTGGTCCTCTGGACATTCAAAAAAACTAAAGCAAAACAAAGCAAAAGCAAAAAATCTAGAAACGTTTCGTCTCTCATCCAAGAGACTTCCTCAGTCTGAGGTGCTGTTTTCAGCTCAGTCTCTTAAATAGCACCTTCTTAGAGTGGATCAACCAGTTTGCTGCTGACAACCAAAACCAGCTGATCAGTAATAAGATCTAAGATAAGAACTTAGAAATACGCTAAACTAAGAATACACTAAGGACAAATAGTACCAAAAAAAATATGCTGAACGATAGCACGAACCATGAGTGTGTGAGCAGATGAGTATGAATGAACACAGCAATATGAAATAAATCGGCAGCATAAGATCAGCAACATGGATAGTCAGCAGCACATATCAACAAAATGGCATTACTTTATTTTTTTCACTGATAATCCTGGTTAGAGATTCATGAGTTTAACAGCTTCAGGGTAGAAGCTGTTCCTCAGTCTAGTGGTTCTACACTTAATGCTCCTCAACCTCCTGCTTGAGGGGAGCAGGACAAATAGTGTGTGTGCTGGGTGAGTGGGGTCCTTCATGATGCAGGTGACCCTCTTCCTGCATCTGTAGATGTCTGTGATGGTGGGGAGACTGACTCCAACAGACTTCTGTGCAGCCTTCACTACTCTGCAAAGCTTTTCTTTCTGCAGCTGTGCAGCCTCCATGTCACACGTTGATGCTGGAGCATAGGATGCTCTCCACTGCACACATGTAGAAGGAGGAGAGGACTGAGCTTAACAAGTTGCTCAAGAAAGATTTGACTTTACGCATAAGGTATGAGTTAGAACCAGATTCTGATTGACTTTGCTTGGTTTAAAGACAAACCGTAGCGTATAAACAAAACAAGGCAGCATTATTCAGATTCAACCACTTGCCATCTAATGAAGGTAGCGTTAAAGTAATATATTATTTTCAAATTTCTTATGAAGAATACACACAAAAGATAATGTCTGTACTATAAAGATAGTTCCAGACTTTTCCTTCTTGACATTTCCACGTGACGATCCAAAAAAGCCGACTTACCTGTTCACGTGAGTTATTTATAGTATGATCTGCATAATGGACATGTAGGTCTGTGATCTGCTGGGAAAATCTCCAAAGCCTCCAAGCAGAGTTTACAGAACAGGACAGGAGAACAGTTTAAGTTGATGATGAGACGTCCCAGATTCTTTTGGAATGTCAGATTTACGTAGGGTGGTCAAATAGGACAGTTAGACACACATCTCTGGTCAACATGTTGGATTTTGAAAAATACATATATTTTTGCTTTATTCTTTTAAAGTGGATTTTTGTAAACAGTATCTTACCTGTTGTAGATAGCTCTTTGAATTAACTAAGTTTGAAGACAGGGAGTTTAAATCTGATCAGATTGACTTGTTAATGGCTAATCCGAGTGCGGCCAACTCCAGTTCTTTACATTTTCAGCGCAGTTCCTGCATATTTTGCTTTAAAAACCTGTTCATCACTTTCAGTTTCTCATGACACGGTTCCGTACATCAATGTCTAAGATTTGTAAGCACAAATGTTGGCAGCAGCATCTAGCAGTAGCAGTCTCGATGCACCCTGGGTCACTTTTGGTAGCACTATCACAATATTTCTGCTGGAATAACTATGATGTTATTGTTCTCGTGAAAAAACACAAGGTTTGTAAACGCTATCATCCAGGTAGATAAATACAAAAAAAGTTTAAATCAGATCATCAGTGAACTTTGAGGCTAAAAGACAGCACTAATCTTTAGTCCTTGACTCAGAGCAGCAGCTAGCTCATCAGTTCAGACAGAATTAAACTATTTCTCCAAACTAACACCGTTCAATGAGTTATCTACAACAGGTAAGATGCTTCTTACGCATAAACACACTTCAAATTAGTTGTGATTTTGAGGCAATAATATAGACGCCCGCATCTT